CAACAAGGAAACAAAACACTAGAAGAGTACTATGCCTGCATGAAGAATATAAGGAATGAACTCAGTGTCTATCATCCCCTCACTCCAGATATTAAAGTTCAGCAACAGCAGAGGGAACAACTAGATGTTACAAGATTCTTGGTGGGGCTGAAATCGGAGTATGRACYAGTTAGARCCCAAATATTAGGGAGCTCTACCCTTCCTACACTTGAGGAAGTATTCTCACGACTTCGTAGAGGAGGTGGACACAGTATAAGAGGGGGAGGACATGCCTCCCGAGGAGGCCGTGGCAGTTCCATGATTGGTCGGTGTGGTCGTGACGCAGGGGGAGGCCGTGGCAGAGGGAAGAATAACTCTGCAAGGAAGTGTACTCATTGTGGTAGGGAAGGACACACAGTGAATTTCTGTTATGACCTACATGGCCTTCCTTCTAAATGGGCTAATCATGCTGTAGCAGGTGAGGTTGATATCAGTGACAGTAAACAGGCAGACCGAACTCCTCTCACATCTACATCTACTTCTGGGAGGAAGATGGTGAGTGTACCGCGTGATGAGTATGAACGGTTCCTCCAAACCACTTCACAGCATACCACTGCCACACTTGCCCACTCAGGTATTGCTTGCATGTCATCTAAAACCTCTCCCTGGATTATTGACTCTGGAGCCTCTGATCACATGACCGGGACTCCAGGTGTGTTCACTCCTCAACAAAATGGGGTGGCTGAACGAAAGAACCGTCAGTTCCTTGAAACTGCTCGGTTTGTTCTTCATCATATGATGTTCCTAAACGGTTTTGGAGTGATGCTGTACTCACTGCATGTTTCCTCATTAATCGGATGCCCTTTTTCATTCTTCATGGTCGGTCCCCCTTCTCTATCTTGTTCCCCACTTTATCTCCATTTCCATTAACTCCTCGTGTCTTTGGTTGTGTGTGCTTTGTCCACAATCTGAGTCCTGGAATAGACAAGCTAGATGCACACTCCATTAAATGTGTCTTTCTTGGCTACTCTTAGACTCAAAAAGGATACAAGTGTTATAATCCCATTACTCGAAAGTGCTATGTCTGCCCTGATGTCACCTTTTTTGAGTCTGTCCCCTTCTTCTCAAGACCTAAAGCACCTTCCTCTCCACCCTTACTTCCTTTTCCTCTTCCTGTCAGTGATCCAGTTTCAGATGCTGCTGTTGGAGTAGACTCATCACCTCATCCAGTGCAGATCACCACTGAACGACCACCGATCCGGCAAGTGTATACACGTCGAACGACACCGGCCCCTCCTCCAGCTTCTACCTCATCTGCGGATCCTGTCATGGTTCCTGTTGCTGAACCCTCAAACCTTAACCTACCCATTGCCTTACGGAAAGGTAAACGTAGTTCTACTCTCCATCCCATTTCCAAATTTGTTTCATTATCTCGTCTTTTCACCTCACATCGTCAATTTGTTTTACTTTTGTCATCTATTTCCATACCTAACAATGTCCAAGAAGCTTTTAGTTCACCTGGGTGGCGGCAAGCAATGGAGGAGGAACTTTCTACTCTTCAACATACTCAAACGTGGGAACTCTCTACTCTCCCACCTGGTAAGCACGTTGTGGGCTGTAAATGGGTGTATACTGTGAAATACTTGCCAGATGGTAGTGTGAAGCATCTGAAGGCCAGACTTGTTGCTAAAGGTTACTCATAATTGTATGGAGTGGACTACATGGAGACATTCACTCCGGTGGCTAAGATTGGCTCTGTTCGAGTGCTAATTTTCCTGGCAGTTATGTATGATTGGCCTCTGTTTCAGCTCGACATAAAAAATGCCTTCCTTCATGGTGACCTTGTGGAGGAGGTATATATGGAGCAACCACCTGGGTTTGTTGCTCAGGGGGAGGATGGTAAGGTGTGCAGACTGAAGAAGGCAATTTATGGGTTGAAACAATCGCCGCGTGCTTGGTTCGGGAAGTTTAGTGAGGTGGTGAAGAGTTTTGGA